CAAGCATGTAAACTGTTTCGAATATATGTTTAGCAATAAAGAAAGATGGGTATTTGTCATCTCCCACTACTGAGTCATTTGACTTTATTTGTTTTTGGAGCCACTCTGGTACATGTTCAGATGTTCTAACTTGAATAACACGAATACTCATCTTTATGTTTATTTGGACACATACAAGTAAATTGGAAAAACAGAGGGATTTGAAGAGCAATCGTTTACACTCTGTGTATATCTTCGGTGAGCCACATACCTTGTTTTAAACAGAATATTAGTCAACTTCGGTTCATGTCTTTACCATAATTGTGCATTCGAGTCGCCACTGTGTGGTAAGGTAATATAGAAAGGCTGGTCTGATTTCGTAAGACTAGTAGGTCTCACTTAAGATCTCATCGATTGCATTTTTTGGAGAATAAACAATCTCTCTCAGTGTTTTGTTTAATAAGCTCACCTTGACTAGATTAGTATCAATTATTTGGATAGAAACAATTCTGTTAAATAGCCATTTATTATCGTCCTCTTCCATTTACCTCTCAATTTGTCGGGTTGACCATTGGTTTTCAATAGAAAATCACCTTAACAAGTGAATGTGTGACCAGACAGTTCGAAGTATATTCAGCTTACATATCACATGAGTGAAAATAGCTTGATCTTGTTTTTTCTAAAATTCTGATGTAAACTAAATTAGAATTCATAAAAATTTGGAAGACAAAACTCATTTAATGTTGCTAATTAAAAGACCATTTCAGTTTTTCTTTATTTCAAGACGGTATTTTGGAAATTGTATTCATTAATTGTGCATGAATTGACTTACTGATTAACTAAAGTTGAAGGCCATTAAACTTATTTAAACTATGTCTATAAATCGTATGTTTAAGCGTTGAGTTAAGAAGTATAATGCACTATCTGGTATCTGAATATTTTTAAATAATAATTTGAATACAACAGAATTATAGGTCGATAATTAGTGCTAATTTTTTAACAATAACAACAATTTATTTAACAGACATGGTTGAAATCCATTTGTCACAGCTACTTACTACAAGTTTTGGAAATCTATCTTGACTAGTGATTGGCTACAAGATAGATTTTCGAGAGTTCTAGTGAGAAGCCGTGATCAGTGGAGTTGGACCGTGTCTGTTGTGAAGTAGTTACTCACTGATGACAATGTGGTGATGGTGGTGGATTGGTTGAAGTTAGACATTAACACCGTTGGGTGTCAGCTCAGTGATCTAGATGTTAAGCGTTCGCGCGCGAGACTGATGGTCTTGTATTCGAGTCCCTTTGGTGTGGGATCGTGGATGGGCACTAATGATGTGTTCTATAATGGCACGAAACGGCCGTCCTAGTGCTACCAGGCTTTCGATGGTTTTCCAGCATTCATAATATCAATCTAAACTCAACAATTAGTGCAGCGTTATACTGATAATAAAATCATTGTCAGACTGCCAATTGAAATTCTCGATTCTGAAGTGAATACGTTTGTTTAAGTAGTGAGTAAATCAGTAACAATAGAGAAAACGTCATAGAGCACAGACAGCTGTATGTCTGCCAGTTTCTTACACTTCTGATTTCCTAGGTAAGATTGCTCGACGATATATTTAAATTGTTTAACACTCAGCTTCTGTATATGTACAGCTAGCTGTTAGGTGACACGAAGAATACGTGCTACTCACTGAGTATAACTGGAGAAAATTGATGCTTCTATCATGAAAAATAATTCAGATGTCATTAATCGTGACCTATAGTTTACTGCTTCCTCAATCTTATTACGTTTTGCCAACAGGGAAAGAGATTTATAGAACAACTCAATGTTTAAATAAGCTATGTATTTTCTGGAACTACCAATCATTTACATTCGTCGTCGATCAATCATTACTCACTATCTATCCTCTTAAATCACCGTTTTTCTTTCCCAAATGTATAAGAAGAGATCATGTTGTGCATCGTAGGACCTTGAAGAATGCACATAGCTATGATGGTTTTTGTTTTGTCTTCATTATGAAGATGGTTGATGATAGTTATTTGAAATCTCACAAAAGCTATTATATGTTATTTGATATAATACCAACCATTCCCTTCATTCTTCCGTATATATGGGTGAGGACTCTCATACACAAGTATCCATTTTTGAAGAGGAAAATGAAGAGACTCAATAATATTGTATTTAATACATATTATCTTACGAAGAAGTTGCAGGAGTAAAACGGAAATCATGATAGTTGACTGTGCCAGCCAGTATATCATTGTTATTATATTTAAGTGATTCACAAATGTTATTCCGGAGGAATTACTATTCTTTAGACAGGTTTGACCAAGCGAGAAGTCATCAGTATCTATTAGTTCGGAGCCTCATACTGAAAATTCAACTTTTCCACGTTTTCTCTTTCATAATTATTCATAATGTGTTTATGCAAAGAAGATAACAAACCAAAGTATATTTATGTTCTTAATTGATTCATACAAACAAAAAGAAATTATCTTAATAAATTAAAACAAATGTGTTTGTGTGTGTGTGTTTTCAAGTAAGGAATGTAAAATAAATAAATTTAATGATCCGACTGAATTTTCGATCTCTCTGAATGACCTTCATGACCTGAAAACAAAACACAGATAAACAATGGTATGTTATGTAATAATGTGTTCACAAGCTACATAAGACAATATAATCTCCAATAGCGGACAATATCAAATCGTGCAGTTACATACCATGAGACGTGATTGTAACGAATTTGTAACTAATTAGACCTTTAAAATTAGATTCTCATTATGACTTTTACAACAAAAACTGACAGATTTGGCAACTGGAGATAATAAAATCAATATTAATTAGGCGATGATGAATGACTTCTGAATTTTATAGATGTTCACGAAACGATAATGAGTGGATCCATAAATTTTGAAGGTTCACCAAAAAATTGTTTTGTATATTTACTTGAGTTTTTTGAAATATTTTATAGCTTCAAGATATAAATCGACACAAACGAATATTAACTGTGATTAAATGACAAACGTTTTGTTCTAGCTTGGGATTCTTCAGATGTGAGGAAGTGTGACAAACATACGATCGAATGGATAATTTCCAAGTCTCACAAAATATAACACTATAACTAGTTATTAAATAAAGTTGCAAACTGAAGTAAAACAATTCTTCCGAATTTCTATGGCTTTACAGTGGTTTGGAATGAAAATGACATTTAGACTATGTAAATATTCTTCTCAAAAAACGTTACAATGTATATTATAACACTGATGAGTGGAGAAACTGGAATAGTTGTACAATCTCACAGTTACACAACAAATTGATTTAAATTATTAATTTTACAACAATATTTACAAGCATAGCCGTCATATCCTATTTAATCCCCAGGGCACTTCATCCAATCAGACACAACCATTTTAGATTATAGTTCATATAAGAGTTGGCCATATCACATTGAAACGGTCAGAACACCTGGTTGGCTTATACGAACTCATATCACTTGTGGAGTAGGCGAGATATCCGTCTACTAATCTAAGGAAAAGTTTACTGAGCAGCAGTTCGCTCCGTTCTTCCTTATTATTATGAAACATGGTCATTAAGAGGATGAGATATACGTAGACTACTGGTGTTACGTTGTAGGTGTCCAAAAAGCATTGCGTGTGTATAGTGAGATTACAAAACAAGAAATGTTTGGGTTAGGAATAGAGTATTAGGTAAAAATGGGAAATCAATTGGTGAGGTAGTATATCTACCTCAACTGAGGTGGTTGGGACATGTGTTACTTTTGCACAACCACTCCCTTCTCCGACAAGCAATGATGTATGATATAGGTGTAAATTGAAGGAAAACTTGGGCCGGCCAAACCAAGACATTGCATCAGTTCATATTCACACTGAATATTGTAATGAGACATATATATAGAGAGATGTAGATTTCCGCTTGGGGTCCACGCGATTATCGTAACTAATAGTTGGACACTGGAATGGAATGGTTCAAAATTGTTTGCGATTGATCAGGTAGATTCACTCCCAGTATTTCCTTAGATTCTAAGTCTATAAATGTTTTTTACTTCACTATTTTATAATTTCCTCTTGAATTGTGTTTTGGATACATAATATTTTCTATTATTACTAATGCTACTACCATCTCTACTATTTTGTGATCTACCCTGACAATTTCATACAGACGAGCTAATGGGCTATAGCAACTTGTATTCACGTGACAGATTTTACGTTGCGTTTGACTAATTGAAAATAATTACATAGATTTAACATGATGAATTGCAAAATAGTCGAGATTATTGGAGCGTCGATGATACCGAGGAAATCTGTAAATTGAGAATATGACTCGAAAATACAGAGTGGAACTCAAGGTCTACAAGAAAATAACGAGTGAATGCATTCCCGCCGTTGTGACGAGTTTTAAGCTGTGTGACAAAACGTATTCGACTGCTAATCGTGGTTTTCGTGTGGAACCCAAAACCAGGTAGCCTATATATACCTAGGTCGCTCACACCAATAACTGAATGATTTCAATAAGGCTAACATCTGTTATTAAATTAACAACACTCAAATGAATATCTATACAAATAGGTCAACGTGAATCTACTGTTCCACTACTTAGTAGTTAAACAATGCTGAAGTGTCGGTGACTAAGCAGTAAGAAATATCAATTACAATGTGTTCTGTAGTGGTATTTACATATATCTATGAACGCAATGTAAACTATATTAATTTCAAGGGAAACATAGTTCTCATAAACTTTATATTCTTATCGCATTATCTAGAAAAGAAATATTAGTGTCAACAATTTAGAACAATGTCAAGATAAGTCATTTAATTAACGGAACATAATCAACAGTGGTATGAATATCATTTTACTGAACTCAACATAAATCAATACACAAGATAAATCTACTTCGAAGTATGTAAATTGTGAAACATACTTTTTCTCACTGATAGACAATACTTGGAATTGGTTATTACCATTAAGGTTAAGGTTTCAAAGCATTCGATGATAATTACGACGATGTGTCCACAGAACAACAATCATCGGATTCTATAACCGATGGCATTACATTGTTCGATTTATCATGTGCATTATTTGAAGTATCAGATGAATTTTGTCGAATAGCTGTATATAGTTAGGGCGAAATGTTAAGGATGGGAAAAAGAAATATGTGAGAAGTAATTGAAAAAATGAGTGAATTCATATCATTAACAAATAAATAACTCAATAGATAGAATATTTGGATGATGTTGAAATATTAGCCAAACGAAGCCCCTAGTAATGGTGACAACTAGGACCAATATACACTCGTGGCATGTCCAATGTTGATAATGGGTGACTGGTGTTGTGTTCATTCAAAATTGGTGACGATTTACACGTGTTTTACTTTTACTATCGTGAGAAAATCTAACATCAACATATAAAGTTTAAAATCTTGGAGGACGTAGTCCTTTCACTACTGTGTTACACTCCAACAGCGAAACCAATACGACAACAGGATATACTCTGGAGTGAATCAATATGAACCTCAATCTTCCTCGCAGTTTATGAACACGATCACATATATGAAGCAGAAAAGCATATAACTTTATTCAATATGAAGTCTTTCAACAAATCTGTCTTATTCAAGAAAACGTATAAGAAGCATACCATATTGTAAAAATGATTTCCAGATAAAAGTGAAGCAGTGAGCCAACGGTTTGCCAAAAGTTGTCATTAGAAATTGCATTTATTGCGATATGTTAGGAATAACGAATATTCTTATTTTTATTCAGTATTATGATAGAAATATTGATGAGACTAACTTTCTTGACTCTGAGTAGTCAAGCATCAATCTAAGTTTGTCACATGAGAATAACGTTACGTTAGAGTGATAAGATGACAAGATAAGAGCTTACTTTTGTGTTGGTTACGCTTTTTGAGATGGATGGTTTAACTGTGGGGGTTTCAATGATGTTTTAGTAAGAGTTTATTTAGTTCGGTTGATGTATGATTATGTGGATGACTGATGATTTCCATATTCAATATTACTTTTGCTAATACTACAGTCTTTAGTCAGTGATATCTAAAGTGGAATCAAGCACATAGATGGATATTTTTGACATTTTCTCTGTACGTATTGATAAATGTGATAATACGGATATGAATTTAATTGGTAAAGTGTCAAAATATGCAATCTAGTAAGCTAAAAACAACCAGAAAATTTCTTGAAGTACGGCATTCAGGTCACCTGACATATCGAAGTAGGTACAAATGATCAGTTTGTATGATGAATCAACGAAATGATGATTAAATTAAGAGTAATAATTTATCATAATCTTCTGAATTCTTCATGTCCCTTCTTTCTCTTTCGAAATTTATTACACTGGATTAACATCTTGAAACAGTAATGTTTACGATTTCTGCTTATACTCTTACTATCTCAACCACCATGAGATTTGAATCGACAACTGTATCTGTGTGCTATTGTGCTATGACAACTCGAACTGATATACGTACGTACGAAGTTCTACGTTGTTGACTGACTGAATGAATGAATTATCATATACTAAAAATTATTTTTGTTCAAAAATATTAATGATATGTGCACCTAATATTCAATAAATCAAAAAATATTTAGGGCAATAACTCACCTGACTTAATTCTGCCTCGATGTACAGGAAGTTTTTTCGAAAAATCTACATTCTTAGCATCGATTATGTTCGTAGATTTTTTTAAAGACTTGAAAGCATCTGTCAATTCCGTAAGCATTTCTATACTGGGAGATTTTAAACTATGTTTATAATCAAATGAAACTGATGTTGATAATCTTCTGGCAGGTTTCACTCCTGAATTTTAAGTAAATTCGAATGTAATTTTTTATAAAGATATATACAATCAGGACAAAAGTTATGAATTTGGGGAAGAAAGATGTGAAATTTAGGGGCTTGACTTATGAAACAATAATCTCCAACTCTAGCAAGAAAAATAAAAGTTTCCCAAAAACAAGGTAAACACATTGTATGAATTTGGATCCGCCAATGTTGCTAATGTCCTTGGCACAGAGAACGGAACATAAACAACTAATATCAGAGCAGAAGCGGTAGTGGTAGAAATATTTACGCCTGTTACTCCTAGTCGAGCATAGGCTACCGATCAGCATTCTTCGACCTGATAACATAGATCAGTTACACAGAATATGATTACAGAAGAATCAGTTGACGCAGTAAAAAAGTAGAACAAGTTTAAGATGTAGCAACACGTGACAGATATGGAACTAACATAGCTACAAATAACAACAAATTAAGACATCACAGAAAAGAGCTTCGTGTAATCTAACAATCAAAACCATAAGAAAATTACTAAGCCACAAATGTGGAAAAGTCAGTGGTAAAATTAACTTCTTAAAAATGAAAAAATTGATTTTTTAATTAATTACAGCGAAACAAAGGATCAGTTATCATTTCGTGAATCACTCATTTCAACAAAGTACCAATCGGACTTACCTGAATCTTTAAGTGATGGATCCGAATAATTAGCACGCATAGTGGAGTTCCGTTGTAAAGACGATGGAGCTGGCGGAGGAGGTGGTGGTGGGGGAGGTGGCGGTGGGGGTGGTATTGCAGAACGACATTCTTTCTCAGATTCCTAAGAGCAGTAAGAGAAAGTATCAACTACAATCACGTCATGTGAATAAAAATGACAAATTAAACTCAAGTACAACATCATCCGATTAGACTGATCAGACATTATGTTTACATTGCATACATACCAAAAACATTGATTTTCCACATCCACATGGCAAAGAGACAATGAAACAGTCACAAATGGAATCCGCTCACCATAGAAATACAAAACCACAATAATACATTTACTAAACACAACCCAATATTTTAAACGAGTTAGTCAAAACACTAATGCGTGCGTAGAAAGGAATCTAAGGTCATTGTGACTGAAAGAAAAACCAACACACACAGTACAGCTACCACAAAAAGACAAATGGCAAATCGTGTGATAGTTTTCGAAATAACACTGATCACTGTTATTAGTCTATTCTGCAGATCAGTATCAATGGTTAATATATTTATTTTATGAACAAGTAGGACATAAATTATCTGAAAATATTGGCTTCAGTCTGTCTGGCGCAAACTCAGTGTCTAGAAGACCATTTATAACTCGCCTTCAGCCCTTCTAGGTTCACTGCTAGTCCCAAACTCGGATAAGGATGCAAGTTTGGGCATGGGTTTATTGAACCTTTCTGAAAAATAGCTAATTAGAAAAATCATTTCAATCATTCCAACTCTCTCCTGTGAGTTGAAGGACAATAATTCAGAAGACTTACGACGACCTCAAGTGGAAGACGAGATTTTCTAGAAGTCATGAGTACGATGCCTCTTCTGACAACCAGAGCGACAATTAATATAGGTACATGGGATATCCAAACAGTGGAGGAGACCGGGAGGACCGATGACTCATCAAAACTTAAATTCTTCGCTACACTTGAGTCATTACTCAAAACTACCGAAATGAGTGAAGAAAACAACATAAAATAAGAAAAAATATGTATAATAACTCCACGAATGAAAGACAACACGCAACTGACTTTACAAGAACAAAAGGCTTTAAAGATACTCAGAATCAGAGAAGGTATTGTCATCGTTGCAGCGGACAAGGGACACACCACAGTCGTTGCTAAATCTTCCACATATTTACGTTTGTTGGTTCTGATGCTCCTCTCCACTTGTTTGTTTATTTCCGTGTATTCAGCTTGTGCCTTGGCTTTTTCTGCTCTTGTTCGGCTGGTATTGATCACTGCCTTCTTGTTCCTTCTTTCTTGAATCTTATCCAGTGTATCAACAGTGATCCATTCCTTGTGGTGGTGCTTCTTGTAACCCAGGACCTCATGACATGTTGAAGTGATTGCCTCTTTGATCCCCTTCCAGTTGCTCTCCACAGTAGTTCCTTCTCCATTGAGTAGATCATGAAAGGCCTGGAACTTGTTGCTGAGGTCTATCTTGAATTTGTTGAGTTTGTTAGTATCCTGGAGAAAGGCCGTATTGAACTTTTGTGATACTGTCCGCCCCGTTGTCCAGTGCTTCTTGAGTTTCAGTTTCATCTTGGCGACCAGTAAGTGATGATCTGATGCTATATCAGCTCCTCTCTTGGTTCTCATGTCCTCTATAGTCCTCCTGAACGTTTTGTTGATGCAAATATGGTCGATTTGGTTTTGTGTAGAGTGATCCGGTGAAGTCCATGTGGTTTTGTGTATGCGTTTATGTGGGAATATGGTGCCGCCTATGACCAGCTTATTGAAGGCACGTAGATTTGCAAATCCCCACCATTTTCGTTTCTTTCTCCCAGTCCGTGTCGTCCCATGATGTCTTCATATCCAGTGTTGTCCGTTCCAACCTTGGCGTTGAAATCTCCCATCAGAATGGTCAGGTCCTTTGTTGGGCACTTCTCGACGATTGACTGCAGCCTATTGTAGAATTGATCTTTAGCGTCTTTATTGTAGTCGTTGGTAGGTGCATAGGTTGGATGACGTTCATTGAAATGCCCTCTTTCTTTGCTTTGAACGAGGCTTTGATGATCGTTGGTCCATGAGATTCCCATCCGATAAATGCTTTTTGTGCTTGTTTGGATAGCATCAGTGCAACTCCTTGTATATGTGGGGCATTTTCTTCTCCATGGCCGGAGTATAACAACAGCTCGGCTGAAGCTACACTTTGTTGTCCAACCCGCGTCCAATGTGTTTCACTTATTCCTAGCACCTCCAAATTATATATTTTTATTTCGGCAGTAACTTAGATGACTCTCCGGGTCTCCCACATTGTATGAACATTCCATTTACCTAAATTAATGGTCGCTCTGGTTGTCAGAGGGGCATCAGCCTCGTGATTTCAAAGGAACTTGGTTTTCAACATGAGACGTCATAACTCTTCTAAATGAAGACCTAACTCCTAGGGCAGAGTTTAAATGGTTTTATTTACTGTTTTTTGGTTGGCGTTTTTTTAGAAATTTAGTTTTCTACGGGATGGGGTCAATAACCTCATGCCCAACCCTCCTTCATTATCCAGGCTTGGGACCGGCAGTAGCTCCAGAAGGGCTACCGGCGGAGTTCTCGACCACATTAAGGACATTCAAAT